TAACCATAGCAGTGAATCCAGTGATGAAGAATAAAAGCTTGACTTCAATGCTATTGCAGAAATTTGCTAACCTGTGCTGTTGTTTCCATTCCACAAAAGCACCTGCATTTTAATAGAAAATTAATAGCTGGAAGTATTGTTGGAAATCAGCACTAAGCCACTATAATCCCGTTGTGAATATCATAGACAACATGAATGCAATGAATTCGTAAGTTTGGGTAAAACATTCTACTATCTTGCCATAAAGAATGCAATTCAAGATTCATAAGAAATACGGAGTAGTAAATTGGGAAAAGGGTATTTGGTTTTTATTATCGAGGAAAATAGGGGTATTTATTTGATTTAGGAGAAATACTACCAAAAGCATGCAACTTTGACTTGGGGATAACAGTTAAGAAATAAAATAATTAACTAATAAAATCCTAGAAATAATTTAAATAAAATGAGCTCAATTTAAGGGTATTTTAGAAATTCTAAAAACCGCTAATTCACAAACAACTTATCTTACCAAACACTTATTTTAGAAACAACTGTAAATGTGTAACAAACAAGTGGCGGAGTGCCAAATAGGGCTCTTTTCTAAGCACGGTGACAAATAGAATTAAAATCAATGAAGCGCATGAAATCATGACTAGGGATGGCAATGAGGATGGAGAGTGTGGGGATCCACGTGGGGAATCTGCGATCAGGGCCCGAGATTGGACATTTTTTCCCAGTGGGGGTGGGGATGGGAACAAATATTCCCCTGCCATTAATTTCGGGATGGGGATCACACTCCCTGCACCGATGTGAATTTTAGCATTTCATATATATTGGTATACTATTGGCTTCGTACACAAACTAACCCTAAAAGATGAAATCCTCCCATATCATGAATACTCACTCTGACTCTAATCACTCATGGTCCTCGCATACGCACCTACTCTCTTAGTGGTGGCAGTGCCTCCTCTCTAGATTTAAACCTTACATTTCAATGCTCGCACCTCATGGCAATTGTGGTTTAGCAAAAACCATTCATCCTCTCTTGATCAATGCCTGATGTGACTCGTCTTCTATTCATTGATATTAGTTATGGCCAGTCACAAGAACTTTCGACACTTTAAGTTTAGTGTTCTTTTTTTCAAATTTAGTTTAGACAAATCATCAAGATAATGATCAAAACTTCCCTAGTTTTTATTACTCATATATTGTTGTCCTCTGAACCATATGCTATGACCTCTGTGCTTTGTCATATTCGAATTTTTAACCATTTCCTGAGGACTCTACTTGTGTTTTTTGTGAAAGTTGGGTATTTGCTTTCCCAAAAAATCCGTGGATCTTCGTGAGGATTGGACCTGTGAGATTAGGGGTGGGAAAAAAATTCTCCCATGGCGGAGATGGGAGAGTTTCTATTGCGCGCGGCGGGGAGCAGAGTATTGCCCCGCCACAGCCCCACCCCACTGCCATCCCATATCATAACCACACAAAAAAATGAAACATGAACATAGTTCATCTCCTATGAGAAACTTTTTTAATAGGAAGAAGCATCATATCTTAAAATCATAACAACAACAACAACCCAGTTGAATCCCACTACAGTAGGGTCTGGGGAGGGTATGTGTACGCAGACCTTGCCCCTACTCGGAAGTAGGGAGGTTGTTTCCAAGAGACCCCCGGCTCAACCTGCACAAAAAATATGGTAGGGAACACAATATAACAGGGTAACAGGATATAACAAGATATAACAGGATAAAACACCAAGTACAATGAAATGAAAGTCCAGCAAGCAAAAGTAGAAGATTCCAATCAAACACAACACACTACAAAAAACCTCTGCAGCACCGAGCTCCTAACCAACTACTTTAATCCTAGTCCGCCAAAGGTTCCTATCTAAAGCCATATCCTCAGTCAGGGTGAGAAGTCCTAAATCCTGCCTAATCACCTCCTTCCAATTCTTCCTAGGTCTACCCCTTCCCCTACTTCCCCCGATAACCGTGATCCTCTCGCACCTCCGTACAGGGGAATCAGCATCCCGCCGTCTCACATGCCCAAACCATCTCAACCTCGCTTCCCGCAATTTATCTTCCACCAGCGCCATGCCTACTTGACGTTGAATAACTTCGTTTGAAATCCTATCCAACCTTGTCTTCCCACACATCCATCGTAACAGAACAATAAATAGTGCATATGTCACAAAGTGAAATCCTTGTTCTGTCTTGTGTAACTGAACATATATTATATGTTGGATGAAAAAAAAAGTGCAAGTTATAATTTTGGAAGACAGAAAACACATATTGATGCGTAAAACCCAAAGCACAGAACAAGCTAATCATGATACAACTCGAATTTGGCTGAAAAAAAATACTCCTGCAAATAATTAAAAAAAACTTTTTTCACTTCCTATTCAAGGAAACGAATTTGTTGAACAAATGTTGTCTCTTTATCCTAAACGAATTCAACCACACAATTTTACAATTCCTTAATCTTCCTGATCAAGTTGAAACCACCCAGCTGGGCGGATGAAGTATGAGTTGTTGCTCATTCACCAAATGAAAAATTACATAAACAAGCACAATTATACGGAGTAGAAGAAAACAGGAGAGCAAAATGTAAACCTAATGATTTTGTCGAGGTAATCGGTAACAATGGAGTTCCAGTGAGGGCCCATGGCGGCGGTGCCTTCGACGGCGATGATCAATTTCTTATCCGCCATAGGCATTTGATCGCCGGAGACTTCTCACAAAATTTTCACGTCTCCCCTTTCACTAATGAAATGGTCACTGCAGTAGATACAACAACGGAAATACATGTTAATTTTTTAACACCAATGTTCTTTATTTATTTACGGTATTTATTTACTTGGTACGGAGTATTTATTTACTGATAAATTCTTTAGTTACTGCATAATTTTTATTGATCACCTGCTAAATTTGATTTAAATGTACTAGAGCACTAGAGCTGGTAAAACGGATAGTCTGGTCGGGTTCAAATTCGATCACCTTGGGTTCAGGTTACTACGAGTTCAGGTAAAGTTTAAGTTCGGATTGAGAGCTACATATTCATAACCCAATGTTATGGGGTATGGGTCTATCTAACAGGTTATGACTTTCATTTATTTTTGAAATTTTAAGTAATTTTTATGATCGATTGTCAATATTACGAATAAAAAAACTAAATATGCAAAAAAATTGAAACACAGTAAGATAATTATGCGATATCATTAAAATTTTATATGAAAATATAAATTTATATATTAAAAACAAGTAGTAAGCAAAAAATATAATTAAAATCTTATTTTTATAACATTATACGGAGTATTACATATTAAAGCATATGATTTTGAAAAATTCTTACATTAGCAGGTCGGTCAGGTCAAGTTTCGTTTTGGACGGGTCTGACCCATTTTTAGTGGGTAATTTGGGTTCGATCTGCAAAACCTTTGTTCACACAGTATTTTTGGGTCGGGTCTCTGATCAAAAACAGGTCAGGTCATTTTTTGACAGGTCTAAAATGTACGGAGTAATTCTATTTTTTTAGGAAAAATAAATGTATTAATCATTATGAATAATGTCAAGCAGAAAGTTTGGGGGATAAACACTTTCGATATTCAGAGGTAAACGAGTTACTTGAGCTAGAGCGTGGACAATCAAGTTCGCTAAACGATAAACCAAAACAAAAAAATTCTCTTTCCAAAAAAAAGAGCAGATGAGATTTACAATCAGTAAGATTAGGAGAGATATCATCGGCATATGGTTATTGGAGGGCTTCAATGACTTCAAGATAGTCGGATTCAGTAATGATCTTAGGCCACCTAGAGCCTCTGCTGCCTTTGTGGAGTGATGGGACAGAAGAATGAGGTTTTTGGTAGCATAAATAAATCTATGCTGGTTGCGGAAGATCCAACCAACTTCGGTGTGATTGTCGGGGAGGCCCACTGAAGCATCGACTTTAAGTTTTATCCAGTCCATAGGAGGTTTTATCCACGAGCAGAGGACAACCGCGAGTTGGGCCACAATTGTCAATTGTCGCTTTCTGCCACTCTGATAATTGCTACGTGCCCAGAGGATGAGGCCGTTGGGGGGAGATGACGCCATAATGACTCATTTCGTGCTTTCCAAATTACTGCGAAGATGAAGGAGAGTGAGGTGTCACTACTATTGAACAATGGAAGATTTCAGGAGAACCCGTGCCGGGAAGAGGTGCTAGCTAAGTTGAACAATCCTAAGGGAGATGGGTAACAAACCCCTTGTGCAAAGACGCAATCAAAGAACAGATGGTGAACTGATTCTGGTAGCAGCTTATAGTTCAGAGAGGGTTGACGTCCACATGTTTGAAAAGAAGGCGATCACAAGTTGGGAGAATATTCTTGATTGCATGCCAGATTAGATTCTTAACTCTAGGGAAATACTTGACTGCCCAAAAACGTTTCCATTTGTCAGAGGGAAGGATGTCATTTTGCAGTGGGAATGTTCTCAGATACAAGTGTTGTAGGAAGGTGAATCTGAAAAATAGCTTCAATGTCTATATCATTGATATCACTAAGACTGCTGACACATCCCAAGAGCCATTCAAAATGCATTTCCAACTTGCCATCCAATTAACATTACTCTTAATTCTTATTAGCCAATAACAATTGTACTCTCTAAAAATAAAAAAAGATGATCATTGCCATAATTAAGAAATTCTAGTTGAGCTTCTCTTTTGGCTTAAGTGACGGAAACTCTAGAAAGTACATTCTCTTATATTCATGGAAGAGCTCGCCCATGCCAAACTAGATTTCCAGCGAAGGCAAAATCATTCACTCGTGGTGCGTCATTACGTTGAAAAAGTATGAACAAATACTACATTGTAATAGAGGCAATAAGACTACAAAACAAGTCATTGAAACAATTCATCTTGATCAAGGCATACATAAAACTATCCTTTAGCCATGTAAAACTGATGTCATCAAATACAGTAGTCTAGAAAAGAACACAAGTTACATGGATCAATAACTGAAGAACAAAAACAAAAAGAGGCATCAAACCCACACTTAGCAAGAAAACCTGCAGTCTGATTCCATCTCATGCAGCAAAAAAACAATGCTCAGACTAAACTGAGATTTACTACTTCAGCCTCCTAATCTTCATGATCAAACGAGTAGCTACTGAGGAACATTCCTCGCGATAATTAGTACATAATTCCACAGGTTACTCCGGTTTCATGCAAAAAAGAGAAGAGCCCTTTTGGACACAAAAGGTGTAAACCATCCAAAAAAACCAAAACCTTAGAACCAAGATGGGCTTCACATTACATATTAGCATCGAGAGAGATGCAAATACGGGTTTCATGCAGAATTTTAGGATACAGACAGTGACACTAATGATGACTTTGACATCACCTGGTTCTAGCTCGCCTTTCTCTTAGCCTTCGACCAATGCTGTCCGGGATTGATTCAGGAGCCGGTCGCTTCCTTCTCCGCGGTGGACTTGTGTTTTGACCAAGAATGGTATCAGCAGGTTTAACATCACAAGCATTGCTCCAGTTCTGCTGAGCATTTAGAGTTCCATCAGAAGGAAAGTTGTCATTATCTTCAGTTGCATCAATGCTGCCTGGGATTGGTTCAACAGGACAAACATTCATCTTCTCTGAATCAGTTATATCATCACTGACTTTGGCTTCAGAAGCTTGACTTAATGTTTCTTGAATCATTTGAGCTCCATCTGAGGATGGTTTCTCATTGGAATTAGGACTTGTTTCTGGCCCATGATTCCTATCACAAGGTTGGGGGGCTTCACCACTGTCATCAATGATGCATTCTTCTTTCTGGCTGCTACTCGAACTCATGGGAGTAATGTTCATGAGAGTATTTGATTCTTTATCTATATTTTCATTTGTTTCGGCTTGAGTTTCGGCAACTGAGAAAGGTAAAGATCTCTTCGCAGGTACGCCATCATCAGGCACATGATTATCTGGACCTGTCTTTTCTCTGCGGGTTTGAATGAGATAATGTGCAACCGACTTGTAACCCAGTCTGTTAATCTATAGATATTTGGAGACAACGAAAGAATGATGTTACACATACACATTTAAATATGAATTTACTTTAAGAGGTGCCTCTTGTTGGGTTACCTATATAATTCAAGGGGTTCTGGAAAATTCGAGAGCTTTCTAGAAAAGTGTAGAGTTTTCTACAATAATCTGGAAAACTCTAGAGAAGTGTAGAACTCTCTAGAAACTCATGAAAGAATATGAAAGCCTTTGAAAAATTCTAAAGACGTGTGAAACCTTATGGAAGGATATAGAAAGGAGTGGAAGAGTGTAGAGATTCCTATAATGTGTGAAGCATTCTAGAGAATAATATCCACCTTTTCTCATTATGGAGGTGTAGTATAAATAGAGGTAGGAGCCTTCATTCCTATCCATCCAAAATCAAGAGACAAGCCACTCCTTAGAGTGAGAAAACAAGAGAGTTAGAGAGCCTTTTTAAAGAGAGAAGAGAGATAACTTGGGAAGTCTCTAATTCCTTATCCTCAACCTTGAGTGACCCACCATAGTCTGAGTTAATTTTGTAAGCATATTCTCGTAATCCTAGTATTCTTTTCATTTTTTGTACTCGTATAATCGAAGAATCTCCATATTGGAAAATTATAAATTCTTGCGCTCCCACTACTAACTTTAATTGGTAAGTGCCCATCTTAACACTACTGTCTTTATACTTTATATATTACATATTATTACCTTCCTGTAGAGAGCACCAGTAGGAGCCCAACCCTTTGCTTGTCGGCACAAGCTGCAGTTGCAGATTCCACGACAAACTGGGCAACGCCAATCCGGGTTCTGGTTTGCTTCAAGCACATGCTCTCCATATCTGTGTACATACACATACGTTTTTCAGACCACAAGACAGATAACGGATGTAAGATTTCTTTTTAAGATTGTTTTTTACATGAAGAAGGCATTGCTGGAAGCCTGGAATTAAGAATCCGTAAGCCCTCTGAATAAGAACAGAAGTTTGTGTTAATGCAAAGGAGCTTGATGGAACCATTATTCTTATACTCTCCCAATTTATAATCTTCAATTTAACTAAGCACGGAGATTAACAAAGTAAAAGTAGTGCATAAAAAGAAACAATATCAGCAACATAATTGCTTTAGAACAGTGAAAATAAAACTACTACTACTATAACAGCCTGACCAGTCAAGTTCCACAAAGTAAAGTCCAAAAATGATAATTTGCAATATAATGGGACATAAATTGAGAAGAAAAAGGATTGAACTCATCCCTAGGGTCCTCCAAGACCAAGCAGACAGTCATTGAAGAGGACTTAAATTGAGCTATAATCTTAATCGAGCAAATAAGTAGTGAGGTATGTCCCTTATACGTGCAAGGGCTATATCTACTCATGATTGCCTTCATTGCCTCTGGCAAGAGTAGAGCTCGGGTATTCACCTTTTGCACCCCTTATTTGCCATCTAAATTATGCCCCAGCATAAGATTTAAATGTGTGTGTGTGTGTGAGAGAGAGAGAGAGTACCTCATAAACAAACAATCTCCACAAAACTGCCCCTGGATCATGTTGCAGTGGCTGCAATGAGTACGAAGACCGAGAGTTTTCTGCCTGTCAAACACAATCACGACTCATTAAAAAAATATCTCCAGTCAGATAATGGAAGAAACATCTGATAGCATAGCAAAGCAACAGAAACCAATGGCTCAGAAAGGCATTTCTACTCATCACAGACCGGCATTGATGGCATGTCTTCCCCGTGACTGGATCATAAATCCGCTTCCCGTCCTTCCCACATCCATCTACAAATAGTGTCCAACTTATTTCAGTGCTACCCAACAGTTTCTCATGCTCTTCTGTATACACCTCAGCCTTTGAACCAGCAAGCAAGTCGTCCTCAATATCCAAAGATTTTTCCCTCTTTCCTAGAGGTATTTCAGAGTAGCTAACTGGTGTAGCATTTTGCAGCCTAAAATTACCACACACAAGATGGAAATGTTAATTAATTACTCCCCAAATACCTAATATTTTCTCGTCAAACTATAAAGGAACCAACTCAATCACGAGCTCAAACATTTGGCTCTAGGCCAAAAAAAAATCTTTACTCTAACACACTGCCTCAAACCCCAAGGCAAAATTGTTTTTACTCGAGTCTCGCAACATTATCATTTTTACAAATTGTTTTGGACCATGCTAGGGTGCCACCACATGGGTGCACCCATGCTTCGCACAAACAAACACAGACAATTATCGTCTGTGTTTGTCTGTGCGAAGCATGGGTGCACCCATGTGGTGGCACCCTAGCATTTTCCAATTGTTTTTACTCGAGTCCCAAACCCCAACGCAAAATTGTTTTTACGGATTTACAACTCGTACCCTCTACACCAACAAAAAACTTGTATCATGTCAAAGAACACACTCAATCAAAAACTCAAGTTTTTAATAGTAGGTCTAGGAAAGGTTTTATAGTCAAAGTTCTCATTTTATAATCAAAGTTCTCTTTTTTTTTATTTTTTTGCAATGCAGGAGCAATTGAGTACAAATTCAGTATGAATCGTCCAGTAGCCTTCAATCAAAGAAAAACCCTTCATAATCGAAAAGCAAATGTTCAATCTGAAATAAACCCTAGGAGAGAGAGAGAGAGGGACCTGGAAGAGCGGCGAGCGGGGAGAGGAGAAGATGGAATCTGTGGGGTTTTGCGGGATTTGCTGCAAATGTTTGGCTTGATAGACTTGAATCTGAGAGAGAGATCGAAGATTCCCAGCTTTCTCATCCTTTCCAGATTTTCCTTTATCCTTTCTTCCCGGAAATGCTCGTACTCAGAACCCATCGTCTCCTTCTGGGTATGAATCTCTTCTCCATTGCCGCCCATTGCAGCTTCTTCTGTGCTTCTTCTCACTCTAACTTCTCCTTCAATTCCTCCCCTGGTTGATTTCTGAAAGACACTGTGAAGTAGAAATTGACTAATTGAGGGTTTTGTATGCCCAATTAAAAAAAACCAACGGTCAAATATTTTGAACAGGGATTACTCGACTTCGAGGAATGCACCTACATTTGCAACATTGGTTTATTAAAATTATTTACTTTTTTTACTACTATAATGTTTCGATTATATTTTTATAGTTTATTTGATTAAATAATATATTTTTATTACTTTTTATGTAGAACCTTTAATATACTTTTTAAATATGTAAATATTATTTTTTATTTTTATCTTAATATTTAAATAATATTTTCTAAAAAATCACGGATTTTTATACGTGGTTCCAAGATAATAATTTAATTTGGGATGGAGAGACTATTATAGATTAATATCTTATAATTTTTGTTAATATTATGTGTTAACATTATAAATTACTCGGAGTATATTTTAGTATAAAAATATTGGAAGTCATATTTTGATCATTAAGTTTTAACTCATCTTGTCAATGTGTTAGACCATCTCCAAAGAGTAAGTCAAATGTTAAAAAATATTCTCTCCGTCTCTAAAAGATTGTCACGGTTTAATTTTTTTGGTCAAATTGTAGCACCATTTGATCATGAATTAGATTTAGTTAGAAATAATTAAATGACATAAAAATTTGATATTTCAAAATTATATTTCAAAATAAACTCAATTTTACTAAATTTACATTATAAATAAATATACATTTTCTAAAATTCACGGTCAAAGAGTGTCAGCGTTTGACAAAAAAAATCAAACTATATCAATTTTTTAAGAACCGAGGAAGTACTAGATGACATACAATTTACTGCTGCAAAATGAGCCTCCAAGGGACACACTTCAAAAAATAAAGGATTATGCTATGTGTACCCCAAGGTTTGTACCCCAATTTATACCCCGTAGTTTTGCACCAACATTTTGTGTTGGTGTAAAACTAATTTTTGTTAAACGCACCAACATTTGTGTCCGTGTGAATATTTATTAACACACCAACACTTGTGTCGGTGTAAACCATCAAAATGTTTGTGCAAGCCTGTGGTGCACAAATGGGGTATATTTTTTGGTGTAAGTGTAGCATGGTCCAAAAATAAAATGTCCTCTGTAATTATTTTTCCATCTTCTTAGCGTACATCTTCTGATCTCTTTTGGTATGTGACACATTGCTCTTCTGTTGGCAAGGTGAAGACGGAAGCTAACAAAGAGGATAGCAAATCTTGACCAATAATAATTAAAATGTGAATTAATTACACATGTAAAAAAAATAAATGGATTTAAAGTAATAAAACATTATTAGATGGCAATTATGCTAAATATATGATTTCTGCAAGTACTAGCAGGAGTACGTACTCTATATTTTTTGTCATTAAATTTGTGGTTAAAACTCAACTCATTTTCTTTCAGGCGACTGCCGGACTGAAACTAAATCTTAACCAGTTAAAATGTAGGTTAAGTACCTGTCTAGAAATTAATTTAATTGAAGTAATAAAACATTATTAAAATGTACTCTATGAAAAGTACCGTGTAGATGACATAGTTGGAGAGGTGATAAAAAGGTGGAATGTTGAAGTATCCCACATCCTAAAAAGTGAGAAATTAAAAATTAACAACTTTATGAGCTCTCGAGTTGAACTAGTAATCGATCGATTATATTGATTTTTTTTAAATATGATTCAATCCACGTATTTTATGGTCTCTTCATTCCAATTTAAATCTTGCCTATATACTCCCTACGTCTACAAATAAACTTCACGTTCACTGCTCACAGGGTAAAACTTTTATTCACTCTATTGGTCTATTTTCGTCACCCATTTGATAAAATAATATAGTCATGCCACCTCTAGTTTTGTAGATGTTTCGATATAGTTTTTTAATATGTAATTTTTATTTTTAAATTTTACACCATTTTCATATAAAATGATTTGAACATAACTTCAGCCAAACATCGTAACGCGCAACGAGAAGTCTATTCGTGGGCGGGGAGTATTTAAATAGATTGTCTCGATCACCTCATGATTCCCATCATATAATCATTCATATACCCATTGAAGACACAGATGAACTCCTGTAGAACATACAACTAACAATACCATGCAAACTCAACAGCCCCATTCCATGGGGGCACAAAACCCTCAACAAGAACAAGTAGAGGAGGAAGAATCGGGTGAGGGCGCCTCCACGGTTCTTTGCCTAGGCCCTCCTGGCCAACACCGTCACACTAAACAAAACAACAACAATAGCCACATCCATAATAATGATGAATGGGGAGTCACTCTGGCATTTCCCTTGGGCCCGCCGCATCCGCCACCGCCTTCTTTTCTGCCGGGAGCAACTAACACCGACAGCTCCTGGTCGTCGTCGGGCAATGCCGCCGTTGTTGTCCGCCCCGGTGGCGGTGACGCCGCAGATGCCGTCGCCACCGGGGGCGGGCTGAGTCTTGGTGGTGGTGGTGTAGGAGGGCAGTACTGGATTCCAACACCGGCTGAAATCCTGGTTGGGCCCACTCAGTTCTCTTGCACTGTTTGTCACAAAACATTCAACCGTTTCAACAACATGCAGGTTCTCACTTACTTACCATGCTCTAGAAATTAATAGTGAATAAATGTGATGTAATAGGTAGGTTGAGAATTAGTAGGGATAAAAGTGATTTTTTAATAGAAATGAGAAAAGTTTTTTAAGAGAGATGAAAATTTTCATATAGTTGATCAATTCTATTTTTGTCTCAGAAAATTCGTTACAATTTAATTTTTTGTTCAAATTTTAAAAAACATTAATCACAAATTATAGAAAAAATATATTAACGGGAAATGATATTTATACTTCACATTTTGTTATAAACACAATAATATATATTTGTGTACACGGCTAATGTGGGATAAATATAACTCAACAACAACAACTCCGTAGTTATCTTTTTCTTCGAATAAAAATAAGAAAAATGCTAGAGTCACAAAAACTCCAGTCACAAAATACACAAACTTTCCATTTGTGCACCTCACCAAGTGAATAAAATAATGATAAATAATAAAAAAATAGACATTTAAATACATAAATAGTAAGTTTGTGTATTTTGTGACAAAAATGTTTGTGACTCTAGCAGTTCTCTAAAAATAAGGGTTTGAAATGAGTGGTTGATTATGGTTTGCAATTCAATGTCAAATCTCCCATAATACTTAGGGTTTGAATGATACCATATTCATATGCTCCCTCCGTCCCCAATTTGTAATCAAATTAGGGTTTACGAAGATAAATATTTTATTCTTTGAAATCATTCTATTTACAAATTGGTATATCGATAAGAAAAAAAATTACATATTTAAAAACTACGTCAAAAGTTCTACAAAATAAGAGGTGACGAAAATCTATTTTATCAAATATTTAACGAAATCGCTAAACAAGTAAAGGTTATCGAGATGATAGAGAAAAAACATTGTAATCAAATTGGGGACGACGGAAGTATATCACTCCTTGAAGTAATGTAACTGGCTTTAATTTGTCTTTGCATTGTTCCCCCTAGCTAATTAATCTTTCTCTCCAAGTGTTTCCTCACGCATAACATAAATTTTTGTTCCAATAGAGTCAAATCATACTTCTTAATTCTTATACTATACTCAGCTTTGTTCCTAAAATAAAATTCTAAAATTAATTAAGTAAAATTCGTACTAAATAGTAATAAAATATATATCATTTCCCAATGTAATACTTAAACTTTTTTATTTCTTAAATAGAACTCGAATAATGTCCAGTGATCGGAACAATGTCCAGGGATAGTAAATATTTAGTTTGAACAATGTCAAGTGGCGATGGATCTGTAATTGAACAATGACAAGTGTACAATGACCACATTGAGAAATAAAAACACATAGTACTACATTATATTGGAAAAGTCACTATTTTTAATAATATTTAATTGTATATTTCTACGAAGTATATATATTTAATAAAGTAAAATATTTTTATCACTTTATTTCTTCATTAGTTTTTAGATAAAATAAATTAAAAATTTTGTTGGATTTTATGCAATGTGACACTCTTTTAGTGATGGAGGAGGAAAATATAAGACTAAAACTAAATTACAAAATTCAAATTATTTTCATTTGAAATTCTGGAATTAAAAGGAGTTCAATCTTTCATTTTTCCACCTGAAAATGTTTGGGGTAATGTACCATTATGTACGTGGTATACCCAAAAATAGAATGCTGAAAACAACAAGTAAACATGGAGTAATTAGAATTGACTCTTGTGGTGAAAATGTGTGCACTATTTAAGGCGGGACACGATACGAAATAATGGGAGTTACTGTTTGTGTAATAGTTTCCCAATCTTCCCGAATAGGAATTGAAAGCCTCGATTTTCATCCACGGTAAAAATGTGCCTGCACACGTGCTTTCCTCCCTTGTATCCCATTCCACTATTCATTTTTTTACCCTTTTTGCTCAAATGGCAAACAAGAAAGTGTAAATGAGACCCGGTAACATTTGGCTTTGACTCCTCCGAGTAACCATGAGTCCATGATACTCTTTTAAGTTCTAAAACAAAAAATTACATTCTTTGCTAATTTCTCTGTTTCATAAAACAAAGGATTCCTATTTTGACCTTATAGGTGAATGTACTCCGTATATTTGTTAGTGACTTTTTAATTTTGGTCCTGATATAATATGTAAAAATAAGATGTGATATATAAAAATAGTATGATATACTCCCTTCGTCCCAAAAAATTTGTTACATTTCATTTCTTTGCGCATCACAAAAAACAATGCTACTCACATCTAAAAATTCTAAAATTTACCATATTTACTCTTTATTATAAGATGAAATTGTTTTGAAAGTTTTTTTTTGGCATTTGAGACGATATAAAAGTATTTTAAGGGATGCGCAAAAAATGAAACGTAACGATCTTTTTGGGACGGAGGGAGTAATAGATATGATACGAAAAAACAGGGATAAAAATGGGTTTTTAATAAAAAGTGGAGGCATTTTAGAAAAAAACAAAAAAAAGAGGAAGTGTTTTAAGAAACGAAGGAAGTATTTAAAGTTCGCAAAAAATTTTGTTTATTTATACGTTTTGATTGATTATTTGACATACTCCGTCCTGAATTAGTTCTCTCAGTCTGACCTTTACATATTTTAAGAAAAGTATTAAAAAGTAATACGTGGATTGTTATAATTTTATTAGAGAAAAAGAGAAAGATTGTGCACCGTACTTTCTTTACTTTATTACTGTAGAAGTAATGAAGTTAAACATTTACTCCCTCCGTTCCGGAAAACATGAGAGTTTTGATTTTGAAGAGGGATTTAAGAGGATTGTATTTTGGTATTGAATTTCCAAAAATGTCCTTTGATGTGATGGGTAAAAGTATGACTTGATGGATAGATTATTACTAAAAAGGTATGATGTGATAGGTAGGGTATGAAAAAATAAGGAGTAAAAGTGACTTTTCAATATAAATGAGAAGTGTTTTTTGGGACGAATGAAAAAAAGAAAGGAGAAAGGTTTTCAGGGACGGGGGGAGTATTTTGTAACAGACTAAAAAGAAAAATGAGATGATTATTTAGATTTACTCTTTTTTTACTCCCTCCGTTTTGCATGTGTGCAAGTTTTAGGTCGCTATTAAGAAGCTAATGACTATTTAACAAATTTTTTGGAAAATGCTTCTTTTTAGCAAATAAATGAAAGGTGAGATTGTTTTAGGCAAATTTACATTTTTCTAATTTTAAATTTTAAATTTACGTTCTTAGAAATATAACAATACACTCATGTTAGAGATTTGTCTCTGTTTAAAAAAATAAGAATGATTTACAGATTTTGTATTTTGTTCTCGGAGAAATATAATATTAGATTATTGAAAAGTATTTCACAGTATCGCTCGAGATATAAATTGCAATAAAAAAAAAGTTTTAGTGAGTTATAAAAATAATTAGTACAGTACACTTTTGGAGGAAAAATATTGTGTAATTTTTACAAGTTTTAAATTGTTACTTTGGGGGGGGGAAATTTATACTGAATTATAAAAGGAGTACAAGTTTTGTAGTGCCATTTTAGAAAAATAATACGGGTAATAGAAGATGATCGATAAACATTTCGGAGTGCTATTCACTTGTTCATGAAAAATATTGCATTACAACAAAAAAATGTAATGACTTATAAAAATAAAAGTTCCATTTCAGACAAATTTATTTTTTTTTCACAACTGTTGTAATATTGTTTTGCAAAAAATACTATACTGAATTATCGAAAAATATTCACAAATTTGGTAGTGCCATTTTTTTTAAAAAATAATAATAGTATAGTATCAAAAAACAATTTGAAGTTCCGCTCAAGAAAATAATTGCAACTTACAGAAAAATATAGTGAGTTACGAAGTAAATAAATTAGTTTCATTGTGGAGAAAAATTTATTGTGCAATTTCACAACTTTTGAAATATTATTTTGGAAAAAACAATTATTACGAGATTATTGATCATTGAAAAAAATAATTAATTCGCTCTAAAAAAATATTTAAATTTGGTATTATTTAAAAAACATGTTTTAGAAATAAATTTAAATTTAAAGTTAGTAACTAAAAAACTAAAAAAAGAATTTACTTAAAATAATTTTACTATACATTTATTTGCGAAAAACAAGCATTTTTTAAAAATTTCGTTAGATAACTGTTAGCATCTTAACGGCGTTACAAAACTCGGACACATGAGAAAAATGATACTCCGGGGTATTATTTTTCATGGCAATGAAAAGTACGATTACTTTTTTAGAAGAATGCGGAAATGTGGATTATTTGAGATAATTTTCGTATTTAAATAGAATAATTGATTCAGATGCACATGTGGGGCCACGGGTCGGAGTACAGAAGGGGCCCAGAATCACTGAAAGGGACGAAACTACCCTCGCCGGCGTCGTCGTCGATATCATCTTCTCCGAGCAGCAGCGCGATGAGCAGGCTGCCGTGTTACTGCTGCGCAGAGGGGTGCAAGAACAACATAGCGAACCCGAGGTCGAAGCCATTGAAGGACTTCCGGACCCTTCAGACCCACTACAAGCGGAAGCACGCGGCGGCGGGGTCGAAGCAGTTCTCTTGCCGGAAGTGCGGCAAGCCCTTCGCCGTCCGGGGCGACTGGAAGACCCACGAGAAGAACTGCGGCCGCCTCTGGTTCTGCGTCTGCGGCTCCGACTTCAAGCACAAGCGCTCCCTCAAGGACCACGTCCGCGCCTTCGGCCGCGGCCACGCCGCCCACGCCGACAGCACCGCCGCCGCCGGCGGATCTCGGTATATGTATGCACCAAGCATGAGAGATGACGATGATGACGACGACAACTTGAATTTAGCAGTCAAACATCGTCAAATTTAAACATTAATTACTCTCATAAAACATTTCCTATTTTAAAAATGACACGTCTTTAAAATGAATAATTTTAGTGTTATTTTTTTATTATGACTAATCTATTCTACACATCTCATTCTACTCTTTTATTAAGTAAGGGCAAAATTAGAAAATAACACCAAAATTACTCATTTTAAGAACGTACCTTTTTTGAAACAGGAAATGTTTTATGGGACTGAGGGAGTACATTATTATTCCGTCGTGATATTTGAAAATTTATGCTAAAACAAATTAACATGAAGTACTAATTCGTTCTATAACTTCTTGTAATTTCCAGTAATTGTAATCTTTAATTCATTGTTGAGCAAGATTGTAAATTGAAGTTTGTGATCATAACTTCAAGTTTGGGTAGAAACCCGGCACATTTCGTTTCATCTTTTGTCAAATCAAACATTATATGTGAGAAATTTCGTGAATTATGAAGTCAAGTTATCGCTGGAAAGGTGATCTATGTGTTTGTAAAATCATGTTTTCTCGTTATAAGATTGTGAGATTCCACTAAGTTATTTTGTTAGAATATAAAAAATATTATCCAGACCACAACCTTTGAGCGTTCATGGTTGTTGATCATGCCAAACTTTGATTGTTAATTATTAATTATTGCATCGAATAATTTAAAAATTGGCACTAAATAAGCTAAAACATAACTCATTTCCAATATAAGATTTAAACAAGTGGTTAGAGTGTTAGATCGGAGTGTATTTCACATCAGAAAAATGAGAAGGGATCTCTACCCATTTACAAGTGGTCAACCGGTTAAATTTTCAAAATGGCCCGATTGCCACTTGCGGGAGAGTGTTAGAGTGTATCTCACATCAAAAAAGTGAGAAGAAAATAGTTGGTGTATAACCTCTTGAGTTGAACTGAATAATCGATTGAATTCAATTTTTTAATGCAGATCCATAGGTTTTTTTTATCCATTTTAAATTCTTACAAATAGTTTAATTGGGCGATGTTACAATGTGGGATATATGCATGCCAAGAGATGAAAAGTGGTGAAGGGATATATAGTTACATGGTTCTCATTTGAGACAGAGATAGTTAAGATTATTGAGCAGTACTATCTATAGTAGTAGGTATGTAGTGACCTTTTGGCAGTTTGCCACTGTTTAATTGCTTTTGTGTAGCATTGTGTTCTCACAACACAAGAAAAAGAGAATGAGCCCCGTCTTCGAGGGCCCCCTAAGACCTGTCCCAACGATTAGTGAGAAGAGATAAATTAGATTTTAATTACAAATTAGTGCATGTACTCGATCTTAACTTTAAAATTATATTTGCATTTATAAAATTGGTCACTAGCTAATGTCATATACTATAAATTGTAATATATGGGGAGCTAAAAATATTTCTAACGTGGGGATTACAAGGAGATGACAAAATCCTAATTCTGGCAAAATCATAATTTCTAACACCTTCGATTCAACAAAAGTATCGAAAAGACCTGAAAAAGTAGTCTCAAATGATGTTACAACTTGGCTCCCCTAATAAATTTTAATTTACAACAAGGTTGTGTTTGTTTGGGGTAAAATATTTTCCAAAGGAAAATAATTTCAAAGTAAAATTATTTTCTAATTGTATTTTCCTTTATTTGGTAGGGTGGAAAATATTTTCTCAAAAAAATCATTTCTTTTATTACTCCATCCATTTTTAAAACAGTTCTTCTTTCATTTTTTTCATTTCTCCAGAACGCTTCTATTTTTGAAAATTTAAAACTTAAACCTGAAAATATAAAATATAAAATATAAAATATAAAATTCAAAATTTAAAATTTAAAATTTAAAATTTAAAATTTAAAATTTAAAATTAGAATTTAATATTTAGAATTAAAAATTTAAAATTTGAAATTTGAAATTTGAAATTTGAAATTTGAAATTTAAAATTTAAAATTTAAAATTTAAAATTTAAAATTTAAAATTTAGAATTAAAATTTAATACGGAGTATTTAATATTTTAACGTGGGGATTACAAAGCCCTAATTCTAGCAAAATCATAATTCCTAACACTGTCAATTCAAGAAAAGTATCATAAAAAAATAAAAAAGTATTCTCGAATGAGCTTATAATTTTGCTCACCTAATAAAATTTAATTTACAATAAGGTTGCGTTTGGTTGGGAGATTACACCCCTATATATAGGGAAATGACAAAGCCCTAATTCCGGCACAATCATAATTTGTAACGTTGTCGGTTCAACAAAAGTATCATAAAGAACTGAAAAATACTCTCGAATACGCTTATAATTTTGATCACCTAATAAATCTTAATTTACAATAAATAACAAATAATGAATAGTACGGAGTACTAATGAATAAATAATTGAATATGATATCCCACGCCACCATCCATAACATAAAAGTACAATTTCTATTTGCAATTGAGAGAGTACATAGAATGTGACAATATCAATTACTATATAAATTTACCAAAAGATGACTAAAATATAATAACTTTCTCAATATATAATCATATATTTTTATTTCTTAATGTAGGATCATTGGTCATTATCTATTAGTCATTATTTAAGTAAATATTCACTATCATTGGATATTATTCCTCTCATTAGACATTATTGAGTCATATATATATATATATATATATATATATAGGAAATAAAAAAGTTTAAGTTCTACATTGAGAAATGATTTATGTTTTAGTCATATTTAGACTATATATATATATATATATATATATATATATATATATATATATATATATATATATATATCTTCTCTATATGTTTGTATTAATTAATTGTATGACCTAAAAATTATTCATTCAAAAAAATGATGTGAATAGTGACATAATTGCTCATAATGATGAAAATAGTGACATTATTGGATTTATTTATTTTAAAAAAAATAGGATGGTAGCCATAGTTAGAAGAAAGACAAGAGGAACAGTGAAAGCCATGGATACAATTGCAAGGCATTAATGTTGAAAGGAAGAAAGTACTACTACTTCTATTGCACTACTTCCACATGAAAAATTTGCATGCATTTGATTAAAATGCCTCTCTTTTCCTCCCTTCATATTTTCTTTCCTTTTCACTGTTGTGAGACATTTAAGTAATGTTGAGATTTAAATAAGAATCACACTCCCACACATAAGTATCATATATCACCCCACACTGCAATCTCTCGCAACTGGAAAGTCATCGGAGCGCAAGCGCTGCCGTGTGTCGCCACTCGCCAGAGCTTCATCACCGGTTGCCAAGGTTGACTGTACTGTCGTTGACCAATGATCGACAACCACTCTTTCACCACAATTCACCATCACATTGTACACTGCTACATTACCTCCACACGTATAGTATGATCACTGGGCTACTACTTGGAAATTAAGACTATGTCAACTTTATTTTGATGTTCTCATATATCAACTTAATTTTAATTTTTACTGTTACCAGTGAGACATATATTTTGATTACCAATGAGACATAAACACATCTTATAAAAATTTGGTATATCATCAATAGTAAATGTTAAAATGAACATAATTATATATATTCTCTCCGTCTCTAAAAACGCTTCCTGTTTTATTTTTTGCGCATCTCATAAAATGCTTCTACACTATTTGAAATATCTAAAAGACTAAGGGGCTGTTTGACAACTTCTGAATAGGTAAATGCTGAACCAGTAAGAGGTCTGAACCATTAAGTGCTGAACCAGTAAGAGGTCTGAACCATTAAGAGCTAGTATATTGCTTAACTATTCAGAGGCAAATGTCTGATCAATTCAGATAATAGCTCTTAACCATTCAGACTCTGTATAATACTTAACCATTCAGAGGCAAATCTCTTAACCATTCAGACATCTGAACCATTAAGAGGCTGAAACAAACAGTCTGAACCATTAAGTGCTGAATCATTCAGACATCTGAATCATTAAGAGGCTGAAACAAACATCCCCTAAAACATCTCTAAAATTACTTCTACCCATAGTAAAGGGTAAATATGATGAATCTTTGACGTTATAGATATGCATAGAAGTGTATTTGGAGATGCGAAAATATGAAACAGAAAGTTTCTTTTTTTTTGGAGAGGGAGGGAGTGTATGTATATATCGGCCCGGTTCTAGTGACACCGGAGAACGGTGCCACTAGCGGTGCCACTGGATTTTTGGGGCACCTCCGGTGCTCCGTTCGTAAAATTGGCGGTTCCTACCCCCCCTAACCCACCACCTAAACCCCCCACCCCTGCACCCCTACCCCAACCCCGTCGTAACCCCCCCCACAAAATGTGTGGCTATTATGCAATGCATAATAGCCACACATTTTGTGGGGAGTTACGGCGGGGTTGGGGTGGGGGTGCAGGGGTGGGGGGTTTAGAGGGTGGGTTAGGGGGGGTAGAAACCGTCAATTTTACTAACGGAGCACCGGAGGTGCCCAAAAATCCAGTGGCACCGCTAGTGACACCGTTCTCCGGTGTCACTAGAACCGGGCCGTATATATATCGTAGGCTAGTTTAATTTTCAGGTACTGTTGATTTGCCTGTGGGGATTGGAGAGAATCTGGCCAAAATTGAAAACATACGTAATTCGTCAAAAAGAAAAAGAAGTGAAAAAATCCGACAGGGTTTGCACTGTTGATTTAATTGCCATATGCATATACATATGGAGTCTGCCATAGCTCTCTTGGTGTGTCTCGCTCTCCATCCCCCTTTTACTCACTTCATCCATTTAGGAAAATAATTTCTCTGTTCACTTCAGAAAATAAATAAATAAAGAAGGGTCATTAAAAATTACTCTCTCCGTCCCAAAAATGTTTCATTTTTTGCGCATCTCATAAAACACTTCTACCAACATCTAAAATGCCTAAAATTTACAACATTTCTTCTTTATTGTGGGTAGAAGTTATTTTAAAAGTTTTTTTGGCATTCAAGGCGGGATAGAAGTGTTTTATGTGATGTGCAAAAAATGAAATAGGAAAGACTTTTTGGGACGAAGGGAGTACTTTTTAAGTTAACCTTTGATTTGATGAATAAGAACATATTCTTTAGGATTGAAAAAAAAAGAGTTAGAATAGAAGAAACCGAAAAAAGTGAAAGAAATTGGAAGAATGACTAGAAAGAACTGGAAGAACTAGAATAAATATTCACCACACTTGTTTTTTCAAAGTCGCGTAAACTTTTGTTTATTTCTAAGTTTTCATTGGTTATTTGATAAACTAAAATATTCTTGACAACTCTTATTTCAAAGAACTTTTCATGTAGCTTTTTTATAGGGACAAAGACCAAAGTAGAACTAAAACATTGAAAATATACCAAAATAGGACATTCATGTTTTTATTCTCGAAATAGGACTTACATTACCATACATGGTCATATACATTACCAAAAAAATATAGTAATTTGCACATGTACACACTCACATTACAACAGGGCAAAGTCACATTACCACAGTGCAAAGTCTTATTTCGAGAAAAAAAACATGAAAGTTCTATTTTGGTACTTTTCTCTATGTTTTAGTCCTATTTCGGGTGATTTCTATTTTTTATATGTAAATTTTATTTTTTATTTGTATACCAATATGTAAATAAAATGAATTGAAAAAGCCTGATATTTTATCTCGGGAATATAAGTGTGGCAAATATTTAGGGACGGAGGGGTGTATATAGGAGCATATATGTGATTTACTATTTCAAATATAATCCATACTTCGTACTACCTCCGTCCCAGTGTATTTGTCCAGTTTGACTTTTTCACACTACTAAAATAATTGCGAACAGAGGGGGAGAAGTTCGCCTCTAATTCTACATAAACCGCCGCTATTCAAGATATAGAGTGGGACTGCGTTCTGCCGCTAATCACGCCGCTGCTAATTTTAGAGGCGGAATTTTTCGACGCTTAAGTAGAGGCGACATTTTTTGCCTCTAATAGTAGAGGAGGACTTCTTTGCCACTACCTTTCTAATTCATTAGAGGGGGGATAATTTGCCTCTAATTTTTTTTATATTAAAAAAAATATAAATAATTATAATATTCTGAATACAATATAGAACAATACAAATAATATTCAACCATTACACAATATCATCTTTTCAAAAACTCACAAGACATACAAATTTGCAAAATAAGGTCAGAATACATAAAGGATTTCTAAATAAGTTTTCAAGAAGTCACAAGTCATCCTCAATACCTTGCAAAACTAAATCTAATAAAAGATTACCAACAAGTATCGATAAGGATAGCAAAATATATCATGCACGCTTCATTGAAGCTCCCAAGTGGAAACATACTAATCAATCAATTCATGTTCATCCCGCTCATCATTGTAGTGTGGATGAGAAGCCGGGGTTGATGACGGAGGCGCAGCAGATCCCTCCACAACTGCAAGGCGTTGAAGTACAGCTTTCAAGGTAGTTCGAAGGTAAGCTAATTCTTCTTCTTGCCTTTCAATTTGATCACCTTGGAGTGCATGTTTTTCTTCCATCTCTTTTTTCCATTCATTGTTCGATGCATCAGAAGCTCCAACTTTGACATTTTGAGATGTGTAAAAAGAGAGAAAAGGTAGAAGAGAGACCTCCTGTACCCCAAACACGGCTATGGTTTTTGCCACCAACAGTATCACACCATGTTTGTAACTTTGTCAATGAGTCTACAGCTTCAGGTTGAGTGCCGCCAATCGAGGCTTGAGATGAAATGTCGTGGATAGCCTCTTGGTACTTGTCCTACAATAGGTAGAGTCTTATATGTTTGAGATTACATGTAAACAAAAATCATAAAATTAAACAAATAGTACCATCCGTAAAAAGTTAGTGTTATTACATATATCTCCTTTGAGCGGTCGTCAATCCAACTACCATCCGTATGTCGTCGAGTGAAACAAACCAACTCGTCAGGGTCTACCGGACGATCAAGAGCAATAGCCTACAACGAACTCATAATTAAATAACTCGAACTCATAATAAATAGCACAGTACCAATGACG